CAAAGTGTAACCCCTCTCTCCCGGGTCCTCACAGCCACACCTCGTTCTTGTTTCGAGTGGGTCTCCAGCATGGGAGGCGGATGCACTAACGAGGAGGCTAAAGACTGCAGCCATTAGCGTCAGTCGCTAGAGTGTCTCTTGAGATCAGGGGAGTGAGGTTTACCTGCACAGCACCTACTCGCTGGCCTCCATTACAAAAGCAGAGGGTCTAGTGAGAAGGCAGCCAGGTTAATCCGGTAACAGTTATATTTTTTCTGTAGCTGTTTCGCTAACTGTTAATATTTCCCCATATTTTCACGATGTCATGTGCTGTTAGCGCTTATTTATTTGTATTTAGAACCGCTAACTTGAATAGTAACCCACAGCAGCAGTGTAAAAGTAGCCCAGAGTCAGACGCACGTCACACGCATATGATCGCGGGCGCGATTTGGAATCACAAACTTGGCTGCATTTAAGTCTTCAAGGCATTTTGAGGACACAACATCGTCAAGTAAGTAAATTTAACGAATGTTATAGTATCCACTGTAGTTCTCCGCTAGTAAAAACATAGTTTTTTCAGTCATTATCCGTGTACGAACCAGCGCAAACAGATGTTACCTCACGAAATTAGCCATCAGTCTCCTTGCTTACGTTGAGCATACCAGCTTATTTCTGGTTCAAACACGTATGGCTTAATTAAACCAATATGTCCACTTGCCACTGCCGTTGTATCGCGTTTACTACAGTTCAGTCAGTGGATCAGGAGGCGCTGGCTCATGGCTGGCTGGTGTGTGACTGAGCGGAGGCGGGGCTAATTTGCGTATTCATAGATCCGCGTATAGTAAATGAGGCAAGGGTGTATTCAAGCTATTTTAAAGGTATAGTTCACCCAAAAATGAAAATTTGATGTTTATCTGCTTACCCCCAGGGCATCCAAGATGTAGGTGACTTTGTTTCTTCAGTAGATAACAAATTAAGATTTTTAACTCAAACCGTTTGTCTGTCAGTCATATAATGGAAGTGAAGAGGAATCACAGCTTTGAGAGTCAAAAAAACATACACAAACGAAACCAAATTAAACCCTGCGGCTCGTGACGATACATCGATGTGTAAAGACACGAAACGACCGGTCTGTGCAAGAAACTGAACAGTATTTATATAGTTTATTTTTTTAACCTGTTTTACCGCAGTATCCGAACTCTACTGAGCGCGTTCACATCTTCTTCTTCAGCTTCTTCTTGTTCTTGCTTTACGGCGGATCGCAGACTCTTTAGGTGGAGCATAACGAAAGTTTTCTGGCAAATCAGCAGTCTCACACACGAATTTAACCTTTTTCAAGTTTCATTGTGAACTTGCTAAATAAAATAGTCAAATGTAAAAACGCATCTATGCTTACGAGAAATATTTAATCAAAAGAATCCCGTACATCCACATCTCTCGGTAAATAATCTATTGTGATTTGCAGTTATCACAGCCCAGATCACAGCACAGCAGACTGACGGAATTGCAATTCGGTCCTACAAATGTCGGCCGCACCACTGTGTGACGTCACATGAAACCTATGAATATGTGGTTATTTGTGGGGTAACTGGAAAAGTTATATGAACAGATTTTTAAATAAACAATTTTTAAAAACGTATTTTAAATTTTTATAGAAATGTACAAATATTTTTTAAGCTTATATACAATATACACATGTTTATAATTGACACAAACACTTAATAATAAAATAATAATAAATATTCATTTTAAACACATGCATTTTGTAATGCTTTGGGCTAATGTTTAGTAATATCTCTAATCAAGAGACTTTTACTGCTGGGGACTGGTAAGCAAGGGATGGATTACACTGCCGTGTATTGCCATGGCACTGCACCAGCAGATAAGGAGAAGAATGTGATCTAAGTGGCCCTCAATGAAAGTGCTTCCCTTGAGACGCTGTTGCTGCCCATTCTTAAAAGATGTTGTATTGCTGGTTGTGCCTCTGCTGGAACATTGGCCTGACATTTGTTGACTTCTTCATCACTAGCTTTCCACCGCAGAACGTTGTGAAGTATACATGTTGCTTTAACAACATCCTCAGCCACCCCCGGAGAAACACCAGTGATTCTGCGGTAAAGCCTCCACTGAGTGGTGAGGATACCAAAGGCACACTACACTGTCTTTCTGGCATGTGACAAACGGATGTTGAACGCTCGTTGTTCTCCCTCTGTGTGTCCAGGAGAGGGCCTCATTAGGTTTTCAATTGAGAGTCCCATGACATAGGGTTCCCCCATCACTGCTCCTACCAAAGGCTCCTACATCCACCACCCTGAAGCGCCAGTGTGAATCAACCACTGCCAGCAAGACAACTGAAAACGAGCCCTTGTAATTATAAAATTGTGATCGTGTGTTGCTCGGGGCTTGTATGATCACGTTTGCCATATATAGCAACACAACAATTTCGAAAAGCCCAAAGCCGATGAAAGTCCTCCGCAATTTCTTTCCAATCCTCTGCTCCTGGGGTGGGCATAAACTGGGGAACAAGACAATCCCAGATGGACCTGCTCACACTCTGTACAATGCCTGCAACAGTGGAATGTCCAATCTTATAATTAAAAGCTATGGGATGGTAGGAGTCACCAATATCTGAAATGGGAATGTAAGAAACAAATAGTCAGTTATTTTTGGCACAAAGAATAATAATTAATAACTAATTATTTCTGTACAGTTTTGATGGTTAGATAGATAGATTCACTATACTCACCGAAGACGAATACAGAGCCGCTGTGCAGGGGATATAGTCTCCCTGTAATTTGTCTCCATCTTTGTAATGCTGGGTCCTACCATGCTCAGGAGGTCTTCAAATTGTTGGGTAATAAGTATTTATGTCTGCATTGGAGGGTGGGGTGAACCCAAACAGATCTCTGTCCTTTTGTTCTCTGAGCAGCAACACCATTTTTATCAATGTCAAATGCCATAGCCAGTGCAATTATTTTCTTTTTTCCCCCCATGTCAAAATTCGTGTCTATCAATTCTGCTTTTTGCCTATTTCTATTATTGTCATTATTGCATCACATCCCTCGAGGGACCCTTGCATTCTACGCTGCGCTTTTTAAAAAACCATTCCTGATCGCTGCGTCTCACGTTTTTAGACGCGAAGACACTTTCTGTGTGAATGGCCCCCAATATGACAAAGTTGCTTATGTTAAACATAAAACTTTTATGAACAGAACGAATAAGACTGATGTACCTGCGTTGTAGCACGCATACATAAAAAAACTTTTGGATTTTCCCCTTACTTTAAACGAATGTTTATGGCTCATAATTATTAACGAAAAAAAAACAGTCTATAGTCTACAATAAAATAGTACAATGACAAATTTAGCTGTATTAATCTTTGAACTTTTATTGACAAAATGAATAAAGATATATTTTACCCTCATTTAACACAAATATGGATTTCCCCTTAAGCTACCTTAAAACGATCGTAGTTTGTGGTTTATTAGCTTGTTAATTAAATTTGCATAGGTTATATTAAACATCTAACTTTTATTAACAAAATGAGTAAGATGGATATAGCCTTGCGTTGTAACCCAAATAAATAAGGTCTAAAGACACTCACTTATATTAAACAAAGAAATTTGTTTTATTAACAAAAGTAGCGCTTTTGGATCCGCCATATGTCACTCTTCGCATTATACAACCCCCACCCCTCAAAATACATTCCTGCAGCTATGTATAAAGATACTTAAAGGGATAGTTCACCCAAAAATGAAAATTCTGTCATTAATTACTCACCCTCATGTCGTTTCAAACCCGTTAGACCTCTGTTCATCTTCGGAACACAAATTAAGATATTTTTGATGGAATCTGAGAGCTCTCAGACCCTCCCATAGACAGCAAGGGTCCTTACACGATCCAAGGCTCAGAAACGTAGCAAGGAGATCAGTAAAATAATCCATGTGACATCAGGGGTACAACCGTAATTTTAGGAAGCTACGAGAATACTTTTTATTCAAAAGTATTAAACAATTATTACTTATTATTTAATTTGTATTTATTTAACAAAGAATAAAACAAGTAGTCTCCTCCGCGTCACCCTAGCGCCATTTTGGAGAGTATCCGCCGGACACAAACAGCGTGACCCAGCTGACACAGAACAGCATACGCTGTTTGCGTTCAGTGGATACTCTCCAAAATGGCAAGAGCTCTCAGGCCCTCCCATAGACAGCAAGGGTCCTTACACGATCCAAGGCTCAGAAACGTAGCAAGGAGATCAGTAAAATAATCCATGTGACATCAGGGGTACAACCGTAATTTTAGGAAGCTACGAGAATACTTTTTATTCAAAAGTATTAAACAATTATTACTTATTATTTAATTTGTATTTATTTAACAAAGAATAAAACAAGTAGTCTCCTCCGCGTCACCCTAGCGCCATTTTGGAGAGTATCCGCCGGACACAAACAGCGTGAC